TGGGGAGTCTCCTTTAATACTCTGCTGCACCTAGACTGGTTCCACCCCCGAGTTAGTGTTTTTGTCCAACAGCAGCGATCATCCAGCAATCACTCAGCTAGCAGCACTCCCAGCTGCTCAGAGAACAAGTCCAGAACACACACAGCCTACCAAACAAATACTCAGCAAGCCACACACACAGGCATCCCTAGCTGACTTACCTTCCCAAAGCAGGTTCCGATGCCTGGTGTCTGGCTTCTCTTCCTACTCTTTCTCCCAGCACACTGCTTCCCAGAGCAACAAGGAAGCGAACAAGGGTTTGTTCACTTTCCCCCTGGTTACTTGGGAAGTCTCCTTTTATAGTTTCTCTCGTCTCTCGGGGAGTCTCAGAGACTCCTTGCAGAGGGCAGGCAATGGGGACACGGAACCAGCTAGGCAGGGAGCTTATCTGCTCAGGATACGCGTATCTGCTTTTCTCCTCACACCTGAAGCCTAACCTGCCCCAACACCCAGACTGAAAAATCACTGCCCCAGACTATTAGAATAAGCTTTGGTTTCATACCCTCAAAGAGCTCAAAAAAGAACTCACCTACAAGCATCCAGACAGCAAACCGTATCCAAGTCCACTTATCCAGCTGCATCATAAGGTAAACATTCACAAAAATACTCAGAATAGGAAGAAAAGGCAAGAGAGGTACCTGAAAAGAAAGAGAAGTTACAGCCATGTGACACGCTAACAGCCAGACAATGCCATCTCTTACAAATGGGAAACATCAGTAACAGTAAATATTCAGACAGGGCATCTGGAAAAAAGTGGCAAGTGTATCAAAATTCAGGGTTCAATTCTCCTGCTGTAAGGATCAAACACAAACACCAGCCTGATGAGCATGGAAAGGCCTTAGCTTAGATTTTCTTTCCTGTTACTGCCATGGAGTAATCATCTTCCATCTAAAAGCCCTCCCCAGTATTCTCTCTCTCTCAGTATTACAGCACGAGTATCCTCACAGCTGTAGAAAGATAGCCTGTTGATGAAAGACAGGCAAGAGAAAAGAGAAGAGGTGCCAAGGTGCACTAGCAGAGCTGTGTGAAAGAACCTGTACACTGGGACTGCCTCCACTAAGCTCATTTTAACCAATAACACTGGCCTCTCATTTTAGTAACCACATCCCAGTCTCCCACTATCACCTCCATCTTCCCAAGCACAACCAACTCCTAAAAACCTTTCTGCCCCTCCCTGCTCCACTCATCCCCAGCAGGCCACTTACTTTAAATGAGAGCTTGGTTTTGCTTTCAGGTTGTTGCCATATAATGTATGTAACACAGGAGCAAAGGAAAAGGAGAACAGCCGTGATGATACCAAAGAAAACTTTATCTTCAATCACAGCCCTTTCATAAAGGACGGTCACCACACAGCAGCTGATAGTAAGAACACCTGAGGACAACATATGTAAACATTTATTGAATTATTACTGAAGAACCATTTTTAATTTTTGAGTCAGCCTTGGACTACAGGCACACTGTCAGCTATGCTGTTTGCAGGACTTAAATTTAAACCAGCCATTTAATCCACAAGTTTTCATGTCTGTTTGGTTGCCTCTGGTCTTTGGAACAGTTAATCAAGCTCATAAATAATCAACAACATACCAGGAAGGGCTCCTGCGAGCTTTGTGAGAATGGTTAACACCAGTCCCTACCAACTGCTTTACTGGCAGAGATGTGGAGCCAGACCACAGAACTTACCTATGATACCAGCTAAATAGTTAACCACAGACCCAGAGAGTTTGGAGGGGTCTGTGTTCTTGGGGCACAGGATGGCTTTAATGGAACATTTCTCATCCTCTTCAGGCAGAAAACCAGCTTGCGAATCACTGGTGCTCACAGATTCATTGTTGTCTGGCTCATCTGTTGTACTAGCCATCTGGTATGCCAGGTTAGGTTGCTTTGGCTGATACCTGGGAGATGGGGGAAAAAACAAAATGACCAGTCTTGGGATAGGGTAGAATAAAATGGCACTGCCTAGAATCAGGAAAGGTCCTGCCTGTGCTAGGAATAACTGAGGCTCCAAAAGAAACACTTATACAAGGGGGAGAGGGGGAAGGGAGAAGGAAGAATTTTACTCAAATCAGACCAATCTTGGCTACTTGTCCAACCTGAAGGTGGCATTGTTGAGCCTGCAAGTAAAGAGCAGTGCAGTGCAAACCTCACCCATTTTCAACACAGAAGTGAGGGCAGGCTACAGGAGACACCAAGAAAACATCCTATAGGGAGCAAGCCTTCAATTGGGAGAACTGACTAGATGCTTTCATAGGCCCTTCCCACCTCCAACTCCCATGCTCCCCCATTAAAGTTCCAGCATGTAATGGTACACCTTGATCTATGCCAAAGATTGGACAACGTCTCACATGGTCCCTGAGCCTTGGGTTTGGCCAAGTTGTGCAAGTAATCAGAGATGGAAAGTAACGGGGATAGCTGGAAGTTGGTTTGCCTTCTTGATTCATTTAGAGCTGTCCACTACCAGCTTAAGGCCACTGTCCCAAGAGGGGTTCACCAGAGGACCCAAGCAGCTGGGGATAAGAGCAACCAATGGAGCACTGATATGACTACAGTCACTTTGGGGCTGCCTACAGTCTGAGAGTAATTTTTTTAAAAACAAGGGTCTTTTGGCCTGGGGGTTGAAGGAGGATGACAATCTGACTGACAACAGCCAGTACACTGTAGCTACTAATACTATACCAAGCACAATCATTTCATTTCACTGCTGTGCGACCTGTTTCCCATCCCACTCTTCCCATTTGTTACTCTATCTGCCTGTTGTCATTTGCTAACCTAAAGCTGTCTCTTTGTTGTACATGTTACAGCCCCAACTAAGTGCTACCTATATAGTTCCTCTGAATACTCTTCAGTGTCTTTTCACAAAGACCTTTAATTGTGAATAACTCAAGGTTTATCCCACAAGCTCCAATTAAAGGAGTGGGGCACTTCTAAAGATCTTTTAATATTTTTTGCAGATGTGTTTTTAATGAGGTTACCTATAGGTCTACAGGGTGAACAACATTGCAAAAATTAGCAATTGCATCCAACAGCTTACTTAACAACTCAAAACACAGCCCATTTAAGCAGAAAAAGATGGAGGAGCTGAATATTCACCTCTTCTGGCCTGTAAGAGGGTGCCTGTTTTGCAGGGATAAGGCTGGTTTTGCAGCTGCAAAATCACCTGCCAGATGGTATGCAGATGGAGTATACAGCAGCTTGCAGAAGCAGATAAATTGGCCTAACGGGCAGGGACAGAGCCACTATCTTACAGTTACTACTGAGAACAAGAGATTGGGAAATAAGAAAACTTTACAAGGCAGTCTAGGAAGGGGAAATCCCCAAACTCTTTCCAGCCCATGCAACAGAAGAAAGCATAGTCAGAGGGAATGCAGGTAGTAATTGTTTGTAAATGAACTGACTCCAAGCCTCAGGCTACTGTGTTTTAGGTCAGGTGCCTAAATGGCCTCAACTAGCCCTGAACAAACTGTTTGGTGTTACATAGCTCCTTTCATCACACAGGGCACTGTAAACATTAGTAACATGAATGTCACAACACCCCCATTTCAGGAATCCAATATTACTGCTCCCGCTGGGTACAAATAGAAGGCGAGGTCCAAAGAAGCTAAATCAAAGATTCTCAGCCAGGGTGCCGTGGCACCCTGGAGTGCCTTGAGATCCTTTCAGGTGGCCATTCAATACTAGATGTGCAAACACCTACATATGGTTCTTATGGTGAACTCAAGGAAATTCAGGTAGGAATCGACAGTGTCAACAACTTTCTGCCCTGCCGTGGTCTCTCTGAGCTATTCACAACAAAATGACTGCTGTTATTTTTCTGGACTCAATAAACAAATGGAAGCAAAGAGTTGGCATTTCCCAAGAGCCTAAAAAGTTGGGAGTCACTTAGCTAGATGACCAAGGCTCTGACCCCACAAACAGCTGCTTAACTTTATCACTACCTCACCTGCCTTCACTACCACTTTATTCAAGTTAGAAATGTGCCTATGTGTTTTCAGAGCTGACAGTTACACAACTAGGCTGTAGCAGCCAGCAACAGGCTCTAGAAGTCTCATGAGCCATGCTTGCTTCCATTGTTAGACACTGCCTCCTGGAACACAGGAGGGGCACAAAAAGAGAGAAACTCCACAAGATTCCCTACTGACATCTCCACACATCCTTTTGATAAGGCAGGGTCTGCTCTTCATTGAACCAGCAAGCTCAGACCCTGGCCTTCAAAACAGTTCATTTCTTCAGCCCTGCCTTCCCACCCTCTGTATCTCTTCCCTTCTCCTGTAGCAAGGCTGTATTGACAGGCATCCCTCTTTTCCCCTCTCAAATCTTCCTTTAAATATCAGCAAGTGTCCTCAGCATGGGGGAGGTCCTTACAAAAGGACAACACCATCTAAGATTATTTCACCATACAAGTTTAACGCAGAGACTGCACCCAGCCCACCCATGAGCACATCCCCTGTGATGTCCATGATGCCTAAAGAAGTGGCATTCACCCTCTTGGGTGAATGGGGAGGAGACCCCAGGATCCCTTCTGCCAGTAGATCCAGTGGGGACAATACAATTTCTTCAGAAGTAAAAGTGCCAAACCTTTCAAGCTTGTCCATAACAATGCTTTAAGTTCAGTATGTGCATTGTTTAACTTGGCCTGTGGTAGTCACAAGGCTGTTCTGGCGAGTCATGTGCACTTCAGTGTGCATGCTACACAAGGGTATTTTTTCTTCCCGTGAGCCTGTTCTGAGTGCATGGTTCCAGGCTTTCAGCTTAATCCATACCTCAGTACCAACACGCAGGCTGCCACTAAGGAATAAGCCAGAAGGGTCCCAATAGACATAAGATCCACAAGATCTTTCAGGTCAAAGAGCAAGGCCATGATAGCTGGGAGGGAGACAAAGAGACACTAGTAAAGATGCAAAATATAAATATTTTGGACACATCAATTTCTAACACCATTGCTTCAAGTGACCACCAAGGGATACCCCAGGAAGGGTGGGTTTTGTGCCATCTGTTATGTCAAAGGAAAGATGTGAACCAGGTATAAGGACAGACCCTGCATTTCTCTCTTGGTTCAAACTAATGTAGCCCATTCAGATCCAACCCGAGCAGGGTGTGGGGCCCAAGGCAAATCAGCCCATACAGGACCCCATCCCTGCTCTGATCCCATGCACCCTGGACCTGAAGAAGCTGCTGCCGCCATCAGCAGCAGCGTTGGCAGCTGAGGGGGTGGGGGGTAGTAAGCAGCTGGACGTGAAGCCACCGCTCCGCCCAACTCTGCAGGGCCCCCCAAAGCCCAGGGCGGTCACCCCAATTCGCCCCCCTACGGATGGCCCTGAGCCCATGCCACTATGTCACCACACAGGATCCCTCATGTGTTGTCCAGAAACAAGTAGCTCTAGGCTAGAGATATCCACCTTCTGCAAAGGAAGCACATGCTGGGGCAGACACAGAGAGAAGAAAGGTGCTATGTCATATGAATGAGATGACAGAACTGGGCCCTGAAAATGGCCATGAGAAGAATGTATGTGAAAGCAATGATGCATTTGTGCCTACCCAGTCTTGAGTCATTTGGGCTTAGGGGGACAATACAACATGCAGGAGGATGAGAATTAAGTCAGTTCGTTTTACCCAGAGGGGAGAATACACTTGCTCTCTGTTCATACTCCCTATTCAGTTTCTTGGAACTTACCTGCAAAAGCACCTGAAATTAACGTTGCTATGAATGGGGTTTTTCTCGTCTCGCTGATTTTGGCCAGCCATTTAAACAGTAGCCCATCTTCTGCCATAGCATAAATTATTCGAGGCATAGGAAACATGGAGCCAAGAAGACTAAGGAGAGAAAAAGGAATGGTCTATTAAGATAATTTCATATTAAACACTGTCAGAAGGACAGCGTCTATGGCAGCACAGGAGGGAAATAAGGCTTTAGTTCTATTGTAAGGTCTTCTGCAGCACTTTCACCACAAAACAGTTATGTTACTTACTGCAGGGAACTAAAGTCCAATCTTTCAGTCTCAGATGACTGAAGTTAGGTACTTAAATCCATACATAGGTTTCCTAAATGTAAACAGACTGATTTTCAGAAGGGCAAACATCAACATGCCCAGCGCTTCACCAAGCAGTACCCTTTCCATACTGCATTTAATTGAGCCCATCATGCTTCACTTCCCTGGGGCTGCTGGTAAAGAAGTACTGTTTATGCATCTGAGGGTAACTTGTTTTCATGCTGTCATTAAGATGGTCTCCAGAGTTAGAAACGGGAATCTGCAGCTCTGAAAACTAAGCACCACCGAGTGAAACCTGGACCTTGTTGAAGTCAGCAGGGCCAGGATTTTGCCATAGGGCCCAATTTCACTATCACTAACATCCATACAAAGAACATCAAACTCCAGCCCTTAGAAAGGGGGATGCAAAAAAAAAAAAAAATGCAAATCTATACTCAGATACATACAACAGGGATAGTATCTCACCTGGTAGAAAGGGCACAGAGCGAACCAATGGCCACTGCATAGTTAGCACCATCCCAACCCACATATTTAAATGCATTGGGTAAAGGACTGTTGGTATCGAGCTGGCAGTAGGGCATCATAAGAGTGAGAGCAGCTGACACACCAAAGTAAGCAACAAAGCAGATCAGGAGGGATGAGACAATTCCAATGGGAATTGCTTTCTGAGGATTTTTCACTTCCTCACCTGAAACAAAGAAAACCCAAAGGACAGCCATAGTCAACAATTACACTGATCTAATAAGACACAAAAGCTAGGGTTCTCAAATGAGCCATGAAGGCTTAGATGCTTAACTCCCATGAAAGGCAAAAGGAATTTGATGCCTACCTGCCATGTTTGTAAATCTTTATAAAATTGCAGTGTTGTTTACTTAGAAGCAACAGAAAGGAGCAGTGTGGATGCAAGGACAGAACTCAAAAGATGTGGAACTGGATCCACAAAAGGACTTGGGTGCCCTAACTGTTGTGCCTAGGCTCTCTGTACTACACAGGCATAACCAAGAAGTCAGCAGGCTGAAGGAAGAGCTGCGTATGTTCACCAACAGGAAATGCTGACAGTGGGGGGTCTTAAACCCTGTCCCCTCTCAGAGAAGTGGGCCCTGTGCCACAGGTGCATTCAGGTGCCTCACTCCTCCCCCCCCCGGATTCCTGCCACTAAATGGCAGCTGAGTGCACATCTAAATTTTGGACTGAGGCCCTCAAAATGGAAGTTACAATGTGCTGCCTTTCTGCTTACCTGTGGTGGCGATGCAGTCAAATCCCACAAAGGCATAAAAGCATGTGGCTGCCCCTGAGAGGACTCCGGTGAATCCATATGGCATGAATCCCCCCACACCATACTGGGTATGACTGAAAAGAATGAAATGACAAGTCAGGAGAGATCCTACCTAGGCAGAAACACTAGCCAGGAGCACGTTCCCACATCTGTAACAAAATCTATGATCAGAACTAGAGGGAGTGTGTGCTCAGCTTCACAGAGCTGTCAGACAGAGAGCATATAGCAACAGGCATGAAGGCTTACTTAACATATAGGTTTGGGGTGGCCAAACAATTTAAAAATATGCCTGGCTAAAATTATGGTTTCACCAGATATTTAGTTCTGAAGATTCTCCTAAACCATCCATTTCTCATTACTCTAAGGTATTTCCAGAAGAAGTTTTCATATGCAGGACCCAAACCTCCAAGGATTTGAACAGGCACCTCACATGGTCTGGGCAAACCAACTACAGTAAGCAGGCGCTCATGGGTGACTGGTGCTGCCTGCAGCTGCTTCTGGGAGTGGCTGCAGCCACTTCTGAGAGCGGCTGCAGTGATCAGCAGGCATTTGCAGGGGGACATCA